AAATGGGAAGAAGTGCGTGCGCGCTGTTGCGCGCGCCGAAATCTTTCAACGACCTTAGGTTTCGCCAAGCAAATTCAAAACCGAGCACCGAAAACATATTAGAAACACATGGGTGTGCAACATCGTCCTCTCCAAACAAGCCTGCGCGCGCGTTCTTGCGAATCTTTCTTTCTAGAAAAAATCACGGTCTATTTTTCCCGATCGTGCCGTGAAATGATATCAGATAGGCCCTGCGCGCCGCGTGTCGAACTCATCCGAACGTCCTTGCGCGCGTGTCGGCCGCGCGCGCATGTCGAACTCCTTCTAGAACGCTCATCGTCGACGCGAGGATCTTGTTCTGGTTTTTGGTGGGCGTGATTAACATCGGCGCTGTCATCGCCCCTGCCGTCGTCATCGCCACCATCGTCGCTACTCTTATCGTGTGTGCCGTTGTCGGCGTCGCCATCGTGCCGCGCCCGCCCGCGTCGCCCACTCGCACAACAGTGCCCCTGGAAAGGGCCCAGCGGTCAGCGCCGCCGCGGCCGCGTCGGTCGCGCCGCAACAGCGCCCCGTTGCGCGCGCGAACATGCGCGGGCCAGCGCGGCCGCGGAGATGCACCGGCCAACGCCAGGCACCCATCGCAGTCGCCGTCGCCTGGGTCTTGCAAACCAAGTTGGGTGGGCGGGGTAATTGCGCGAGCAGCGGGGCTGACAACTCACTGCGAGCATTGGCGAATTCTCCCCAGCTAAACCGGAAACGGCCCCCCCCCTATCCTCTGCAATGAAATTGCCGTGCGCGCGCCCGTTTATGGCGAACCATTTTTTTCCCGGTTCTCTCGAAGATCCCTGGGGGCGCATCGGATGAAGTGCGCACGCGCGTGTCGCGGCGCGCGCGTGCCGAAATCGCCCAAAAAAATAGGGTTTCGCAAGGATTTCAAAACGCATGGTTTCGCAGCGAGGGTTTTGCCCAACAAAAACACATGCGCCCGCGTTCTTGCGAATTCTCGGGGAACCATCGGTCATTTGAAATTTTCGTGCAATGCTGCAAGGAGGGCCCCTCGCGTGCGCGCGTCGAAATCGCTCGAGCGCCCGTGCGCGTGGCTGTCGGAAGAACCCCTCGCGAGAAATAAAGCGAAGTTGCGCGCGAGTGCCGAAATCTTTCAGCAACCTTCGTTTTCGCAAAGATTTCCAAAGCGAATGCGCCGAAAACGCGCGAGAACACGCGGACTGCCACGTCGCTCTTCAAAGACATCCGGCCCTCGTGGCCGTGCGGATTCTCTAGAAAACCGTCGGACTTCCAGCGTTTTCATCGCATTCTGCGAATCGGCCCTCTCGTGCCGCGCGTCGAACTCGCTCGAGCGCCGTCGCGCGCGTGCTGGGGGGGCGGGGGGGGGGCGCGATCCGCGTCGAATGATATCGGCAGGCGTGATCGACGTTGGCGCCGTCATTGTCCTTGCCTCCGTCGTCGCCGCCATCGTCGCAACTCTCGCCATGTCTATCGTGGTCGGCGCCGGCGTGATGAGGCGCGCGCCCAAGTCTCCGACTCGCGTTGAAATGCCCGCTGGGAAGTGCGCGGCGGTCAGCGCCGCCGCGGCCGCGTCGGTCGCGCCGCAGTAGCGCGCCATTGCGCGCGCGAGCATGCGCGGGCTGGCGCGGCCGCAGAGATGCACCAACCAACGCCGCCATCGCTGCGATACATTGTGTCTACTGCTGTCGACGTGCCCGCGATGCCGCGCCCGCCCATGTCGCCGACTCGCGTTGAGGTGCCCGCTGGAGGCGCCCAGCGGCCAGCGCCGCCGCGGCCGCGTCGGTCGCGCCGAACTAGCTGGCAGCTGTGCGCGCGACAGCGCGCGCGGGCTAGCGCGGCCGCAGACGTGCTCTGACCAACGCCAAGCAGTCATCGCAATCGCCGCCGCATGGGTTTTGCCCGCCAGCTTGCGGGCTGGTGGGTGGGGCGGTTGCGTGAGCAATGGAATCGACAACTCACTACGAATCGACATGAATTCTCACTCTACCCCCTGGGGTTATCGACTCGGCCTCGCGTGTTGTAATTTGCAGGTGGTTCTGTCTCCTTGCTCATTTTCGCTATGATTTCATACTATCCCAGAAGAGCCTGCGACCCCCCCATCGTCCCTGCCAAATGATATGATGCGGTGCGCGTGCGTTGATATAAGATGAGCTTGTGATGTGAATCCGTATCCAATGATGCCATGCGCACCGCCTGCGCGCGTTCCGCTCGCGCCAGACGAACTCCTTTCAAAACCTGTGTTCTTGTAGCGATTTCAACAGGAAAACATTAAGAGACCAAAAGCTTTGATCATGTCATCCCGCGCGCTCTTGCGAATTCTTTAGGGAATGCTTTTCTTTCCATAAAGTCTTCCCATGAAATGTTACCAGGAGGGCTTCGCGCGCGTGCGCGTCGAAATCACTCGAACGCCCTCGCGCGCGTGCTGTCGCGAAAACCCCTTGCAACGGATGGGGCGAAGTGCGCGCGCATGCCGAAATCCGTCCGAAACCTTCGGTTTCGTTTCAAATTCAAAACCGATTGTCCAAAACGCATTCACAGACGCAGAGTTTCGCAACGTTATATGTATGTATGTATAGGTATATGTATAAGTATGTGTGTATATATACATACATGCAAACACACATATATATATATAGTTATATATATATATATATATATATATATATATAAGCTTGCGTTCGCGCCTTGGCGACTCCTTGAGGCAACCGTATTTTTCTTCTTGATGTGCATGGCATTCTGCCGCGCGGGGCCTTTCGCGCCGCGCTCCGCAATTGTTCGCGCGCCCCTGCGCGCGTGCCTGGGGAGGGGGGGGGGCGACCCGCGTCAAGTGATGCCGCGCGGGCCACTCTCGCGCGTCGGCCGCGCGCGGGCGTCGAACACTTTCCAGAACTTTCACCGCCGACGCGAGGCCGCCGTTGTCGTCGTCGGCGTGGCCATCATTGGCGCCGCCACTGGCCGCGCCGTCGTCGTTGTCAGCGTCTCCGCCAACATCGCTACTGTCATCGTCGCGTCTACCGTTGTCGACCCTGCCGTGGTGCCGCGCCCGCCCAATTCGCCGACTCGCAGTGAAGTGCCCGCTGGGATGCGCCCAATGGTCAGCGCCGCCGCGGCCGCGTCGGTTGAGTCAAACCAGCTGGCCCCCGCGCGCGCGTGCATGGGTTGGCGCGGCCGCGGAGATGCGCCGGCCGACGCCAAGAACTCATCGCAATCGCAGCCGCGTGTGTTTTGCAAACCAAGTTGCGGGTGGGTGCAAGGAGTGTATCAACTCTTTTGTTATAGCCAATTGCACCGCCTAGATTGTACTGCGTAGATTCTTTCTTTTTATCGCACGGCAGAAAGTGTGCTTCGCATATTGCGCAGCCTATATTGCACAACGCAGCCTGCGCGACCTAAGAGTGCAATGCGTAGATTTTTCCACAAGTATTGCATCACGGAGATTGCGCCACATATGTTGCACCAGAAATGCCGTGCCATATCGTGCACCGCGCCTGTTGGATAACATCGGCTGCATATCATGCATTGCACAGCGCGTCTTGCTTCGCATTAGCTGGGCCACATATTTAGCGCAACGATTGCATTGCACGCAATGCAAAACATTGGTTTTACACCGTGTATTGTGCAACGTACATTACAATGCATATATTGCACCGCGTAGACCGATGCACACCTATTGCGCAACAACTATTGCTCCCCGTAGGTCGCGCTTCTCGCATTTCACAACATTGGTTGCGTAGCATAGTTTGTATGACATCGGTTCTCCTTTCTCAACGCATAATAACATGTGCCTCCCCCCATCGGACTTAACCGCTCCTCACTTCGTATTGCGATTTGCTTATGATTCTGCCCCGTCGTCCACCGTGCATATAAATTCGTATGCTCCCAGCCAAACCTTTATCGTCCCCCCTTGTCTTCGACAGAGAACATTATGCGCGCGCTCGTTTTTTCCCATAACATCAAAGTTCAAGAACCCGTGGCACAAAACAGCGCAGTTCACTCGCGCACGTCGTCGCGCCCGCATGCCAAAATCCTTCAACAACTGTCGGCTTCCTAAGGATATCAAAACGGAATGCCCGAAACACAAACAACAAACAGTTTGTTTCCCAACAAAGATCCATATGAAAAGCTTGCGCCCGCGCTCGTGCGAATTATAAGCAACAACGCGATCATTCAAGATTTTCATACATGCCACCACATGGGCTTCCCGCGCGCGCATACGTCGAGATCGGTCGAATGTCCTTGCGCGCGTGCTGTCGCAAGAACCACTTGCAAAACGTCGCAACATTTCGGCATGCGCGCGCGTCGTCGCGCGCGCCAGCCGAAATCTTTCAAAAACCTTATGTTCGTGTTGGATTTCCAACTCGAGTGTCCCGAACACATATGAATACACATGGTCTTGCAACATCAGTTATCACAGAAAAGGTGGCGCTCGCGCTCTCGCGACGTCTTTACGAAACCAGTGGGCTTTCAACATGTTCAACTTCGCCAGAAAGGCTTCTCGCGCCGCATGTCGAAATCATTCGAACGCCCTTGCGTGCGTGCTGGGGGGCACGATCCGTGTCAAGCAATACCACGCGGACCATTCGCGCGCGCATGTCGAACTCCTTCAAAAGTACTTATCACCGACGCAGGGCGCCGTCATTGTCGTCGGCGTGATCGGCATTGGCGCCGTCACTGGCAGCGCCGTCGTCGTTGTCATCATCGTCACTAACATCGCTGCTATCATCATCGTGTCTTCCTTTGACCCTTGTTCTAGAAGCCTCACAAGTGGGGGCCGAGTAGACGGGGTCGGAGGATCGCGCTGCATCTCCGATACATCGCCGATGTATAAGCGATGCACCAGCGCCGTCGGCGTGGAGAACATCGGGCTCCACATCGGGCCACATCGGCGATGCAGCGTAGTCCTCCGATCCCGCATGCTCGGGCCCCATCTGGGAAGCCCAAACCCTCGTGCGCGCCGCTGCGCGCCGCGAGCAAAGAGCCCGCCGCCGGGCGGCCTCGGCCGCGGGCGAGAGCGCCGCCTCGAGGACCAGCAGCTCCTGGCGCATGGCCGCGCGCGCGCGCGCCAAGGGCGAGGGCGACGGCCCTGGCGCCCATAGCTCACGAGCGGCGAACGTGTCCGTATGCGTGATCCCTACCCAGACATGCGACCTCCTGGACAAACTCTCTTTTTTTTTTCTTCAAATTTTCGGCCTCCGGGAGCGCAGACCGGGCCCCAAGACCGTCAACAAAACGACTCGCGATGAAAGGGGTCAAGACCTCTGGGGGCAGCGTCTTGAAATATCAGGGCACCGCATGCCTGGGTAGCTGCGGGCGGGTGGGGGGGGCGGGCGCGGCGCTAGTGCCGTGCCGAAAAAAAAGGGTTCGGCGCCGAGGGGGCGCGCTGGTTGGCGGGGGAAGGGGAGGTGGGCTGGCTGCGGAAGGGGACCGAAGGCGGACTGGTGCCGTGCCGAAGTGCAGAAGTCAGGGCGGAGGGGGCGCGCTGGCGGCTGCGGAGAAATGCGGGGCGGGGACCAGTCCCGTGCCGAAATAAAGTGGTCGGCGCTCTAGACACACTGTGCAGGATAATGAAAAAACAATATCCCCGGACCCTTGACGTCATGATTTTACCATGACGTCGACCCCCAGAGGTCTGGACCCACCATTCCCCGATACCTTTTTTTCATCCTGGGTCGTTTTCTGACGGCCCCGAGGCCCAGTGAGGGCCCCCAGAGGCCGAAAATAATGAAAAACCTCCCGTCGTGAATTTTCCATGCTCTGCTCTGCTCCGTTCTCTGCTGTCGAGGCCAGGCCCGCCGCAGCGCTGCAGCGGGCGGCGGCGCGCGTGCCAGAGGGCATGCGCAGCCGGCACGCCAGCGGGCGCGCGAGGAGGGCCGGCCTGCGCGACGCCGGCGGGGAGCCCGGACCCCTGACGTCACGAATTTTCACGACGTGGACCCCCAGCGGTCTGGACCCACATTTATTCTTTTTTGGGGGTGAAGGCGGCTGAAAAACTCAAAGGCTCGCGGGCGAGCGCCCCTGACCCAAGCGAATGAGCCACTCCCCAGGACCGGTCCCTCATCCCCAGACCCCCCCTCGGGCCACGGAAAAACCACGACGGGAGGTTTTTCCACATTTTCGGCCTCTGGGGGCCCTCACCGGGCCTCGGGGCCGTCAGAAAACGACCCAGGATGAAAAAAAGGGTATCGGGGAATGGGTCCAGACCTCTGGGGGTCGACGTCATGGTAAAATCATGACGTCAAGGGTCCGGGGATATTGTTTTTTCATTATCCTGCACAGAGTGTCTAGAGCGCCGACCACTTTATGGAAAAATGAAGACGTCATGGAAAAATCAGGACGTCCGGACTGGAAAAATCCAGACGTCGACGTCATGGAGGTCGACGCCATGGAAGAATCAGGACGTCCGGGGTCTGGGCCCGGAGTCGTGCCTCGACGGCCCCGAGGCCCGCCGAGGGCCCCGGTGAGACCGAGCGCGGCGAGAGATCCCGCCCGCGCGTGGCGATCTTTCCAGGGCCCGATTGGGGGTCTGGGAGCCCAGACCCCCTCGAGTTCTGAAAAAATCACGACGGGAGGTTTTGTCCACATCTTCGGCCTCGGGGGGCCCCTGCCGGGCCTCGGGACCGTCGAAAAAAACGCCTCAGGATGAAACGCCGGTCCTGGGGCATGGGTCCAAACCTCTGGGGGTCGACAGGGGCGACGAGGTCTACTAGGGAATCGCGCAGTCCCCGACGATGCTAGCCCCCCCCCCATCGGCAGCCCTCGAGAGTGGCGACGGCGTCCTGCTTCGCAGCCCTCTCCCCGGGGGAAGGGCGAGGTCGGCGGCCCTGGGGAGAGAGAGGAGAGGAGGCGGGGCAGGAGGCAGGCAGGAGGCTGGAGGGGGAGGCGGGAAGGAGAAGACGCGAACGCCATGAACAAATCACGACGTCGGGGCTCGGGGAGGAGGGCCCGCCGGGCCGCCGGGCCCACCGCTCGGGCAGCTCGGCAACGCGCTCGGCGCAGGCCCGCCCGTGCCTCGGCCGGGGCCCGCTCGGACTCCGGCCCGGGCCTCCGCCGCTTCGGGCCCTTCTCGCGGCAGGGCGCCCCCCGAGGCCTGGGGACTCCTCTTTCCCCGGGGCCGGCGCTTCGTCGTCCGCGATTGTCCGGTTTAGGCGGCCCGGGGCCTCGGCGAGTCGGCGACACGCGGGAGGGGCCCTGGGCCAGGGGGTGGCCTGTGGTGCGCGGCTCAAAAGGGGGACGCGGGGTGGCCAAACCTGGGCGCGCACGCCGCTGCTGGCGCGTTTCGCGTGCCGCGATCGAGGGACGACCCCGTTGGGCCCGCACCAAGGGGGTCGCTCCGGCGAAAGGCCACTCTTGCGTGTGGTGAGCGACGGCCCCAGGAGGCCGAAAGTGGGCAGCAGAACCTCACGTCTTGGCTTGTCCACGACGGGAGGATCCCGAGATCCGACGCTGCAACACACATGCGGCATCGCAAAAATCACGACCAGACCCCCAGACCCCCATCTGTCTGCGTCACTCTGCGAGACGGATCGATCCGTGAGGGCCCTGGGGCCCGAAAGTGGAGCGGAAACGCCCGGCTCGAATAAAATGGAGTCGCAGGGATCCCAGGGAAAGTGGGCCATGGAACGTCGGGGCGCGAGGCCGCCGGCGCGGCCGCCGCTCGCCGCCGCCGCCGCCGCTCGCCGCCGCCGCTCGCCGCCGCCGACGGCGACGACGACGCCGACGACGACGCCGACGCCGACGACGCCGACGACGACGACGCCGCCGCTCGCCGCCGCCGCCGCCGACGACGCCGCCGCCGGCGCGTCGTGGCTTCCTCACGACGGGAGGAGGTCGAGGCCCGCCCTCGGCCCTCTGGCGGCCGCGCGGGACGCGCCAGGAGGAGGAGGAGGAGGAGGAGGAGGAGGAGGAGGAGGAGGAGAAGGAGGAGGAGGAGGAGGAGGAGGAGGAGGAGGAGGAGGAGGAGGAGGAGGAGGAGGAGGAGGAGGAGGAGGAGGGCGCCGGGAGCTGCCCGATGGAATCACAGCGAAGGCGAAAGTGGGGCGCTCTGGGAAGGAGAGGGCCGTGAGATCCCGGCGGCGCCACTTTTTCGAGCCGGGCGTCTTCGCTCACTCTCGGGCCCCAAGGCCCGCGGGGATCGACCCGGCTCGCAGAAACTGAGGCAGAAACGTGGGGTCTCGGGCTCTGGTCGTGATTTTTCACGATGTTTCAATCTTTTTCGAGACGTCGGATCTCAGGGGAGCACGGGCGGATCGGGCCGTCGGGGCCCCGGCGGGCGGGTCGGGTCGGGCGGGCGAGGCACGTAAACTGGGATGCAGCATCCCGTGGGGCTGCGACGCGTGTGGGCGGGCCGCGTCGGGCGGGCCCTGCGGGCTGGGGCGGCCCGGCGGGTGGGAACCCTGAGGTCCGACGGCGGACAAAACATCACATCGCGGGAAATGGTGGTCATATCCCTGGACTCAATTGTCTTGCTGCAACTTTCAAGCCAAATGGGTCCGTGAAGCTCCTGGAGGCCCGAAACACAGCGAAATCGCCTGGTGCGGAGAGGTTGCGACGCCAGAGGAGCTCAGGGAACGCCCTCCAACGAGATGAGGTGGGGGCCCTCAGAAAGCGGCCCCAAAAGTCCTGCCGTGGGGGAAACAAACAGGGTGAGCTCCCTCCCCAGACATCGGGCTGCTCTACCTTTTTCGATGCGTGGGCCCCGGAGGTCTGGACAACTTCCCGAGGGCCGGTTTTTCGCCCTGAGCCATTCCATTTGCCCGGCGAGGGCCGCTGGGAGGCCGAAAGTAGCCCCAGACCGGCCGCCGCTCCGACTTTTTCGGCGCGTCGGATCTCTGGGGGCTCGATCCCTCCAGAGCCGCCCGGGGCGCGGCCGCCGCGTCCACGCGGTGGTCCGTCGGCAGTCTCGCCGAGGGCGGGCCGCAAGGTCGCAAGGGGGGCCGCGGGGTGAGCTCCTTGCGCAGCGCCTCCAGCCCCGCGCGGTGCGCTGCCGCCGCGCCCGCGTGGTGGCCCATCGGCGGGCTCGCCGAGGGCGCGTTGCGGAGCCGCGGGGGGGGAGGGCCGCGGGGGGGGGGGGGGGGCGCGCGGGGCAGCAGCGGAGCTGCGCCAAGGGGGCGGGCGCGATGGACGGCGTCCTCCTCTGTTTGCCACGGGCAGTGGCCCAGGGGTTCGCCGACCCACCCAGGGGTCGCCTCGGGATGCCCAGCGCGGGAGTGCAGTTCGCAGTGAGCTACCAGCACGGCCCCCTGTGGGCCTAGGAGGCAAATGGCTGCGGAGGTGGGGAAGCGCTGCAGCGATCCCGCCCATCCCGCCTGCGCTCAACTATGAACATAGCCATCTTGCCAGAAACTGAAGTCAGGACGAACTTCACTGTACACCAGCGTGGAGTCTAGGACCAACGAACCATGTGGCGTTGTCGTCTGTTTTCGTATAGCATTGCGGTGGGGTCCATTCCATTCCGTTCCATTCAATTTCATTCCATTCCATTCCCCTACAACCTCCCCCCACTCGGGCGCACGCGAACATGGATAACGGATCCGCAAACGCGTGGGCGCTAGATCCACGGATCGGGGAAGCCCCCCCCCCCCCCCCCCCCCCCCCGCGTGTGGGTCACTTTACAACCAGAAGCGCACTTCACAACCAGATGGGTCACTTTACAACCAGCTTACAACATCCGAGAAGGGCACTTTACAACCGGGAAGGGCACTTTACAACCAGGCAAGTAAAAACACATATTGAATGCACGCGGGCCTTTCCCTGAAATCTCCGTGGGCAAGCGCAAGGGTGGCTTTGGGCTCTTTGATGCATGTTGGTTGTGAAGTTGCCCGTCGCGCACGAAGAAGCACGGCGCACGCGTTGGCGATGCGGCGACCTGGTGCGCTATGGTATGTTGCGTGCTGGTGAGCGGATTAGGGTTTGACCTGCTCTCTAAGCTCTGTCGGTCAGTTCTGCCTTTGCTTGCTCTGCCTTTTTGTTGACGGACGAAGGCTAGTCGCGCAGGACATACGAATAAACCATGATCCCGTCCAAGACTGGAGCTGCATGGCAGCGGGAAGCTGTAGTGGGAGATGTGCTGGTAGCGGGGGCTACAATGGGAACAGCATTGTGTTGGGAAGCTGCGGTGGCAACTGTGGTGGTCGCCAGGCAGCGGTGGGAACTGTGGTGGTAGCTGGGCTGCAATGTGATTTGCGGTGGTAGCGGGGGGTCAGTCGGAATTGTGGAGGTAGCGGGGCTGCAGCGGCAAGTGTGGTGGTAGCAGGCACAAAGGTGGCGGTGATGCGCTGTCACGGTGGCTCAAGCTGCTGCGCTGGCACGGTGGCTGAGGCTGCTGCCCGAGCAGGATACCTGCGTTGCTGCGCTGGCACTGTGGCTGACACTGATCTTCGAAATAGTTGCATTTAGTCGGAACGTTGAACCTCGATCTTCCAAGAAGAGGAACAGCAGGGGGCCAACTGGAGCTGGAGCGCTTAGCCCCTTGCAGAACACCGTGGGGCTTCAGGGGCCAACGTGGCCCAAGAGACCCGCGGTGCCAATGGCCTAGTTCCCTGGGGCGCTGGGCCCTTGTGGAGGCCACTGGGCTCGCTTCCTGTGAGGGATCCCTAAAATGGGCAGCGCGTCGCCCTGAGTCTTCCTACGTATGCTGTCGCCTTATTCCCGTGCGAGCACGGGGCCCTTGTTGAGGCCGCTTGGCCCCTGTTAGCAAGCCCTGTCTTAGTCTGCTGGCCCCAGAGCGCCAGAGCGTCCAGGCGCTCGGGCTCAGAGGCATCGCTGGGGCCTGCGCAGAGCGTCCAGGTCCTCGGGCTCAGAGGCATCGCTGGGGCCTGCGCAGAGCGTCCAGGTCCTCGGGCTCAGAGGCATCGCTGGGGCCTGCGCAGGGCGTTGAGGCGCTCGGGCTCAGAGGCATCGCTGGGGCCTGCGCAGAGAGTTCAGGCGCTCGGGCTCCAGAGCGCCCACGTGCTCTGGAGCACTTTTCAGAGCGTCCGCGCGCCCTGGAGCACTTTTGAGAGCGCCCACTTGCTCTGGAGCATTTTTCAGAGCGCCCACTTGCTCTGGGGCATTTTTCAGAGCGCCCACTTGCTCTGGAGCACTTTGCGGAACGCCCAAACACGCACGGCCACTCTGAGCTGGTTGTAAAGTGGTCCGTTCTGGTTGTAAAGTGGCCCGTTCTGGTTGTAAAGTGGTCCGTTCTGGTTGTAAAGTGGGCCGTTCTGGTTGCAAAGTGGACGTTCTCGATGAAAAACCATACTTTCCAATCCTATGTTGGTTGTAAAGTAACCCATCTGGTTGTAAAGTGGTTGTTCTGGTTGTAAAGAGATCGAATCTCCCCCCCCCCCCCCCGAAACATGGTGCCAATGCCGCCCGATCTGGCGGCGCAGCGCGCCGATTTTGTATGGAAGCGGGGCCCGTCGCTAATCCAAACGCCAAACTCAATGCTTGCGCTTCCTCGAGACGGGGGCGATGGACGGCGTCTTCCTCTCTCTCTCTCTCGCTTTCTTTATTTCTTGCTCTCCCTCTTTCTCTCTGTCCCGCCTGTCTCCCCTGCAACCTCCCCCCCGCCTTCCTCCCACGATTTTTGGTGAGGGTCCCTGCGCCTCAGACCTCCGGGCTTGTTCAAATATGGCGCGCTGCGCCGCTGGGGAACAGCTGCGGCCACAGTGTGAGAAGTGCGAAGCGATGCCTGACATGAGCATGCGGGTCCAGGAACGGACAGCAGCGGACACAGCGCCCCCCCCTGTCTCGGCGCGAGTGGCGTGCTGCAACCCTGGCACCACTCCACTTCAGCTCACCTTCCTCCCGCCTCACTTTCCTCCCCTCCACGCCCTTCCCTCGGCTACACGCAAGAGTGACCCTGGGCAAGAGCGACCTTTGATGCGAGGCTTTAGGGCAGCGCGATGGGGCCAAACCCAAGCGTGCAGGCCGCTGCGATCGCACTGCATTCGGCGATCGCAGGGGCCGATGGGCCCGCACCAAAGGTCACTCCAGCGAAGGGTCACTCTTGCGTGCAGTCGCTTCCCTCCCCCCCGCGTCAGCAACGATTTCGGCCCAAGGCGGTCGTGCACCCCCTGCGCGCGCTGCCTCGGCCATCCGCGCATGGCCGCGACTGTCTGGCTCGGGCCTTGGAACCTCGCTTGCGCACCGCCCCGCGCGGTCTGGATTTTCGCCCGACGGTGCGCTGCCGCTCTCCCGCGCGGCTCCGCTTCTGCCTCCGCCGTCTGAGAGCGCTGGCACCAAGCCTCGTCAGCCCCAGCTCTTGCCGTCCCTCGCTCGGACGCCCACTCCCCGCACTTTGGACTTCGTGCGCGCACTTTCCTTCGCCTGCTGCTCCAAGATGCTCCTCGAGGGCCCCCGCCGAGAAGAGACGCACGTGTCCGAGCGATGCCACGAGCTCCGAGACGGTGTGCGCCGGCGGCCCCTCGTCCCTCGGCCCCTCGCGCTCGGGCGATGGTGCAGCCCCCGGAGCTGTGCGGCAGCCGCAGGCGGCTGGCGGGCCAGCCTGCCCACCGTGCTTGCGATGCGAGCCTTCACGCTGGGCTCGGTCCTGGCGCACTTCGACCTCATCGTGAAGCGAATCGTGCCAAGCATCAGGGGCTGGCGCGCCAGCAGGCCTCCGCGTGTGGCCGACCTCTCGCCGCCTCCTGCCCGGGTCGTTGCCGGGGTCGTTTCGGCTGCACTGTCTTCAAGGTCGGCTTGCATTCTTCGGCGCTGGCACTTGGCTCCAGCTGGCTGCTTGGCTGTGCCCGGGAGGTGAGGCTCCACCTCGTGCTGACTTTCCTCGGGAGCCACTTCGCGCTGAGCGGCTTCCCGATCCACCGTCTGGCGCAGGAGGCGTTTCGGGAGAAGGAGGAGGAGGATGAGGATGTGGAGGAGGAGGAGGAGGAGGAGGAGGAGGAGGAGGAGGAGAAGGAGGAGGAGGAGGAGGAGGAGGAGGAGGAGGAGGAGGAGGAGGAGGAGGAGACGCAGTCCCTGGCGCTGCGGGAACTGCTCGGCATGTTAATTCGGCCCTTTATCCTGCCGTGGGCATGGCGGGTCGCGAACCTGGCCGTGCTGATGGATGAGGGGCTGCCTGCTGTGGAGGAAGGCCTTGGCGGCAGAGAGACAGCGATCCGCGTGGCGGGTCTCGAGCGGAGGGAGGCCGTCCTCGAGCTGGCACGATCCTGGATGTAATCTCTGTGGCGTCACTCTCGTCCGCCGACGCCGCGGCCGTGAGTGCTGCACATGCTGCGGGTCCTCCGGTCTGCGTGGCATGGAGCTGTGCCGATGCCCATGCTGCAGAAGAACGTGGCTCCCTTCGTGTGTTGACCGTCTTCTGTTCGAGGAGTGGGATGGCCAAGAGGGCTCATGCATTGCGTGCTCCCGGTTGCGCTTTATCTGGCCTTGCTGTTTGTCCTGACCCTTCTCTTTCTATGTTCGCGAAGGCGTGGGTCTGGGCCAGCTCTGTCCTCCTGACGAACTGGTGCTGCGCCGCGGCGAACTACCACCTGACTCGGGCGACGGCTCTTTTTGTCGGTTTCTTCGAGCTCGGCCTTGATGCCATGGGACTCGACTTGATCGCCTCCTCGCTGGTGGCGGCGGTGCCCCTCCTGAATGTGTGGGCACCCCTCGAAATATCCCCGAGCGTCGATTTCGCACCCCTCCGCGCCTGGAGCCTGCCCCGTGCCTCGGCCGTTGACGCCCGCCCCCCCCCACGTCGAGGGCCTGCGGGCCCGCAGACCCCTGGGAGGGCCCACGCCCCTGGCGTCCCCCACGGGGCCCGGCCCTCCCCGCCGGCGATCCGCCGCACCTCGCCGCGGGCGCGAGGTGCAGCTCCCTCTCCGGCGCTGCCGCCCGAGTGGCGCCCCCGCTCCCTCCGCACACGCGCGGGCACTTCCCGGCCCTCGTTCTGGCGGTGTGCGCCAGGGGGTGGAGGGAGGGGGGAGGGCTTCTTGGGAGGAGGAGGCTGCTTCTCAGAGGGCGCCGGCCTTGCATCTATGGATGAGGCCCGCGCCTTCTCAGAAGCAGGGGTGCTTCTAAGAAGCCCTCCCCCCTCCCCCCACCCCCCTCTGCGGGTGGCCGATTGTTGTTGCAATACGGTCGTCGGACCCACGGCAGAAGAACGTCCTCCAAGAACATGAGACCCTCCGCCGGCCAAAACGCACGGAGCATCCGAGGACACCCTCCCCAGGATGCACAAGAGAACATTAGGGCACCCTGACGGAGCCGACCTCGATCTTCTACCTCGGCCCGATGGTATTTGAGGGGGTTCGACAGCGGGGGGCTGGCCGAGGAGGGGGGGGAACAATGACCTGGAGTCAAAGATGCACCGCCGACGCATGGGGCCCCGATGGGGGGGGCGACGGACGGAAATTGGAAAGCGCGCACAGTGAGCTGAGCTGCCTGAGGCGGGTGCCCATAGAAAAAACGAAGGAGAGAGATAGAGAAAGAGAGAGAGAGAGAGAGAGAGAGAAAGAGATAGAAAAATAATCAACAACGCCGCATGTCTCTCTCTCTCTCTCTCTCTCTCTTTTTTTTGTTCTCTCTCTCTCTCTCCGTTTTTCTATGTCGCTTTGTTGTTGGTTTCATGGAGAGGGGGGCCGCTGCCCATCTGTTCTTCCATGGCGGAGGGCTCGGGAGGAGGCACTGCTTTTCGGCCATCGCTGCCGCGCTCGGCAAGACGAACCTGGGAGGAAGCCACTGCCGCCGAAAAGCGCCATGCCGACGCTTCTGGCACATGCTATCGGCTCCGCTGCGCCGCCTGGCCTTTGAAGCAACGGAGCCCGCGCGCAGGACGCGGCGAGGGTCGCAGGGCAACGCTCCACCGCAGCGCGAGCCACGCGCGCGCTCCTCGAGAGCCGCGGGGTCCAAACGGGGCCGCAAGTCGCGCCAGAAAGAACCCGCGTGAGATCCGACGGAAAACCCGTGTGGGAGCAGGCGCAAGCGTGACAGAATCTCAGAGCAGCCCAACCGACTCGAGCCAGTGCAGGCGCGCTGTAATTGCAGGGGGGGAGCGCGGGGCGCAACGCGCGTCGCGGGGCAATCTTGAACAGTAGCGCGAGCCACGCGCGCGCACAGTGGGCTGCGAAATCCCGGTCGTCTCAAGATGGCTCGAGATACGACGATTTCCAACATCCTCCAGTGTGCCCCAAGAGCGCTCCAAGCCGAATCCAGATGGCCCTGGGGCCTCCCCAAGACGCCCCAAAGATGCGAGACATCTTCCGGCGCCTATGGGAAATATGTGCTCTTCGCCTTCTCACGACTTCGCTTCTGATGGCCTTCTGAGGTCTCGAGATGGCTCGAAGACGGCCCGACGCGCAGCCAAGTTTGGGCCTAAGATTGCCCCAAGACGGCCGCAGAGCGCCTGAGAGCGCTCCAAGAGCGCACAACGAGAGCGCCGAGAGGCGATTTTAGAGATTCGATCGATCACGGTGTCCCTCAATTTGCACTGCCCCTCCAAACCCCCTGTTGGCGGGCTGTCTGGCGCTCTGGGGCCGTCTTTTGGGGCAATCTTGGGCCCCTCTCGGCTGCGCGTGGGGCCATCTTCGGGCCACACCTTGAGGCCCCAGAAGGCCATCAGACGCGAAAGGATGAGAAAGCAACTGGCCATGGAGTTTCCACACGGTGTAGGAGATCTCTGGCATCCTGGGGACGTCCTGGGGAGGCTGCGGGGCCACGGGGGCCCGCCACGGGGCGGTCTCGGGGCATCTTGGAAGCGGTCGGCGGGCGGGCGGTCGGTCGGCGGGCGGCGGGCGGGCCGGGGTTTCAGTGCCTCCCTCCCACTTCCTCCCTCTCTCTCTTCCTCCCTCCCTCCCCCTCCCTCTTGCCTTTCCTGACTGTCGTCTTCCTCTCTCTCTCTCCCTCTCTCTCTCTCTCCGTCCGAGTGTCCTCTCTCCCTCCGTCCGTCCCTCTCGTCGTGCTCTGCCCCGACCAGGCAGAGGCTGCCAGGCAGGGGCGACGGGCCGCACGAGGCCTCTTATGGTGCTTGGTCGACGCCCTGGTCCCTCGCGGGGCGCTGCCGGGCCAGGCTGCCTTCCGACCAAGCACACGCAGCAACGAAGACAGGGAACCACTGCTCCGCACGCCCTGACCCCTCCGCCACGGGCGACGCACATGCCCACATCCCTGCGCCCGCGGCCTTGAGACCGAGGCGCGATCCCTTCGGATACACGATCCCACGGGGACGCTTCCCGCGGGGCATCAGACCGCCCTGTGCCCATGAGGTCGCGGTCGAGGAGTCTGGACCTCGAGGCCGTGGAGGTGGGTATATTTCCCGCTCGCGAGCTCGCGCGGGCTCTTTTCCGACGAGCTGTGGCGACGACTCCCGAGACACGGGCCGGCCGCAGTGTTGTCCTTCCGACGAGACGCGGCGACGACTCCCGAGACATGGGCCGGCCGCAGTGTTCTCCCATAGAGGGGCACCACTTGCTCGCCTGGCCACACTCTTATGTCTTCGGTGAAAAAAACTCACCACGGAGCCCGAGAGTGAGAGGATTGCCTCGGGGTATCCTGAGGACACGAATGGGTCTCCAGCGTCCCAACTTGTAGGCGGGCGGGGTCTGGTGAACACAGACATTCGGCGGTGGACAACTCTCCCTTTAATAAACCACCCTTTAGTGAAAACGGCCTAGGACCGGAACCGACGGACCTGGACACGCAAAAATGACGGCCGCACGACCCTCTCGCGAACCGAAAACGGCTAATTCGCTAATCAACGAGTCAGGGTAGGAGGTCTATCAACTTCCGAGACATCCGACGCCGTGATCTTTTCTTCGCAGCGCTGCTCCCCAGAAGTCTGGCCCCTTCCCCCAGGAGGGCCAACCACTCATCCCGACCCTGTCTGTCTTCGACGGTCCCGAGGCCGGGCGAGGCCACACGGAGGCCGAGCATGAGAGAGCATCGTTTTTTTTTTTCGGATGATGCTGGACGGCCGAGGCGCGAAGCCAGCAGGAGGGGGACGAGCGCGAGGTGCGGGTGTCTGGCCGGAGAAAGCACCCGCCTCTCTGAGCATCGCTTCACCGGTCCGGGATCCGTCAACATCGACTCGGTAAATCGAACTGGTTCGATACACCCTGCGAAATGCTTAAGAAATCATGGGTTAAGAAACTCAGAGCCTCAGAACTCCAATAAAAACCCAGAACTTCTAGCACAATCTTGGGATTTGCATGGAAACGTTAAGAATAATCGAGACTCTGGACGAAAACTTAGGTTTTCTTAAGCATCGCCTAAGGTGTATGTGCATCGGATCGGGCTGCATCGGCACGGAATCGAAACTGGTTCGGATCGGCTGCGCCAGGACGCACAAGGGCGCCAGGCAAGCATCGGGCCGCATCGCATCGTCGGGACATTGGAATCGAAGCGGATCGGGCTGGCCGGAATCGACATCGAATCGGATCGGTCGGATCGAAATGGCCTTGGCCCCACCGGCCGATTTACCCCCCTAGATTGGGATGTAGGCTGTTCCGTTCGGGCTTCCAGGGGACCATCCACAACTGGGGGGGTGGGATGGCTGGGTTGAGATACCATGGCCCCGTGGGGATCGGGATATGTTAAACGATTCCGAGAACCTGTCTCTTCTGAGAGTCGAGCTGCGGTGCTCAGCGGAAGCGGCTCAAGCCCGGACCACCCACGTCAGATGTAGGTCGAAACAAGTGGGCCTCGTCCAGGTCCGCGCGGACCTGGGTCAGTCAAGGCCGTGTCTAGAACCCTGGCGAACCACGAAGCAACTCGGCTTCGCAACCCGGGTCAGCGGAAGGGCGGAAAAAAAGGGGGTTGGCTCCGCGTGGCTCCCGGCCCTGGGTCAGCCAACAGTGATCAGAAAGGAACAGCTGACGGCCGTGAGAGCCACTCCCGATGCTTGCGCTCCGGAAGCCCGCCCCCGGTCGCGTGCTGGGGTGCTCACGTCTGGAGCTGTCAGCAACTTGTGGAAGTCCCACCAGCCCTCCTCTGGGCGTAGGTGGTTTAGGGAGTTTCCTCTTCCCCTTCGGGGAGGGGCTCATCACTGCTCCCTATTAATAAACACCCCCTCCCCCAGGCGACTGGTAGCCAACCAGGAACCATGAGGGCCCCCCCCACCATTCCTTGTTAAATTATCCCGGCAAAGCAACCTAACAGCGATGTGTAGAAGCATATCTGAAAGCATTCCCCTTAAGATTCAGATGAAAATCCAGTTGTAGAATTCGGCTGTTCTCGCAGTCGTAGTCGCATTCGCGATGACAGTCGCAGCGGCAACGGCAGTCGCAGTCGCAGCCTCAGCCTCAGCCTGCCTCAGCCTCAGCCTCAGCCTCAGCCTCAGCCTCAGCCTCAGCCTCAGCCTGCCTCAGCCTCAGCCTCAGCCTGCTTCAGCCTCAGCCTCAGTCTGCCTTCAGCCTCGGCCTCAGCCTCAGCCTGCCTCAGCCTCAGCCTGCATCAGCCTCAGCCTCAGCCTCAGCCTGCCTCAGCATCAGCCTGCCTCAGCCTCAGCCTCAGCCTGCCTCAGCCTCAGCCTCAGCCTGCTTCAGCCTCAGCCTCAGTCTGCCTTCAGCCTCGGCCTCAGCCTCAGCCTGCCTCAGCCTCAGCCTGCCTCGGCCGCAGCATCAGCCTGCCTCAGCATTCAAAATGTGGCCCAGGAATGGAGTTCTGGGAACTAGAAGAACACGAAGTGGCCTACAGTTGGCTCCGGGCATTCAAAATCATGCCCAAGAATGGAGTTCTGGGAACTTGAAGAGCACGAAGTGGCCTACAGTTGGCTCCGGGCATCCAAAATGTGGCCCGGGAATGGAGTTCTGGGAAGTCGAAGAGCACGAAGTGGCCTACAGGTGGCTCTGGGCATCCAAAATGTGGCCCGGGAATGGAGTTCTGGGAAGTCGACGAGCACGAAGTGGCTTACAGTTGGCTCCGGGCATGCAAAATGTGGCCCGGGAATGGAGTTCTGGGAGCACCAAGAGCGATTTTGCGAGGATTTCCAAAGCGATTTCGGCTTCGGCGGCAGCCTGCCCGGGTCCCGCCCAGACCTCCCTGAGGAGTCATGATGCTCTCTTTTGAGACCACTAGAAACCTATCAGCAAGAGCTGTTAAGTAATTATCCCGGCAAAGCAACCTAACAGCCATGTGTAGGACCTGGCCGGGGCAGCCGGCCGCCCTCCCCTCCTGCTCGTCCTCCTCCTCCTCCTCCTCCTCCTGCTCGTCCTCGTGCTCCTCCTGCTCGTCCTCTTTCTCCTGCTCCTCCTCCTCCTCCTCCTCCTCATTTTTCTCCTGCTCCTCCTCCTCCTCCTCCTCCTCCTCCTCTTCCTCCTGCTCGTCCTCGTTCTCGTCCTCCTCGTCTTGTCTGCGTCCTCCTCCTCCTGGTGCTTCTCCTCCTCCTCCTCCTCCTTCCTCCTCCTCCTCCTCCTCCTGGTGCCTCGTTCTCCTTCCCTGGTGCTCTCCCTCCCCCCCCCTCTCCTCCCTCGTCCCTCCTCCTCCTCCCCTCCTCGTCCTCCTCCTCCTCTTCCTCCTCCTCCTCTCCTCCTCCTCCTCCTGGTAGTCTCCCCTCCCCTCCTCCTCCTCCTCCTCCTCTTCCTGGTCGCCCTCGTTCTCGTCCTCCTCGTCTTGCTCGTCCTCCTCCTCCTGGTGTTCTCATCCTCCCCTCCTCTCCTCCTCCTCCTCCTCCTCTCCTCCGCCTGGTGGTCCCTCGTTCTCCTCCTCCTGTTGCTCTCCCCCCCCTCCTCCTCCTCATCCTCGTCCTCCGCCTCCTCCTCCTCCTCCTCCCCTCCTCCTCCTCTCATCCTCCTCCTCCTCCTCCTCCTCCTCCTCCTCCATCCTCCTCATCCTCCTCCTCCTGGTAGTCCTCCCCCTCCCCTCCTCCTCCTCCTCCTCCTCTTCCTGGTCGTCCTCCTCCTCCTGGTCGTCCTCCTCCTCCTGCTCGTCCTCCTCCTCCTCCTGCTCGTCCTTCTTCTCCTGCTCCTCCTGCTCCTCGTCCTTCTCCTGCTCGTCCTAGTCCTCCTGGTCTTGCTCGTCCTCCTCCTCGTCGTGCTCTTGCCCCTGCTGAAAATGTGGCCCAGGAATGGGAGTTCTGGGAAGTCGAAGAGCACGAAGTTGCCGACAGTTGGCTACGGGCATTCAAAATGTGGCCCGGGAATGGAGTTCTGGGAACTCGAAGAGCACGAAGTGGCCTACAGTTGGCTCCGGGCATTCAAAATGTGGCCCGGGAATGGAGTTCTGGGCACTCGAAGAGCACGAAGTGGCCTACAGTTGGCTCCGGGCATTCAAAATGTGGGCCCGGGAATGGAGTTCTGGGAACTCGAAGAGCACGAAGTGGCCTACAGTTGGCTCTGGGCATTCAAAATGTGGCCCGGGAATGGAGTTCTGGGAACTCGAAGAGCACGAAGTGGCCTACAGTTGGCTCCGGGCATTCAAAATGTGGCCCGGGGAATGGAGTTCTGGGAGGTCGAAGAGCACGAAGTGTGTGACTGTTGGCTTAAAACGACTTCTGCGGCACCCTGTCCGGCACCCGCCCAGACCCCCCTGTGGAGTCATCTGCTGCTCTCTTTTGAGACCACTAGAAACCTATCAGTCTTCGCTGTTAGGTAACAAAACACACTCTGCCTCCAAATTCGGAGCGTGCGCAGCCAACCCGATGCGGCCTCCCCCCACCATCCGTCAAAAAACGATTATCCCGGCAAAGCAACCTAACAGCGATGTGTAGAAGCATATATGGAAACATTCCCCTTAAAATCCAGATGAGAATCCAGTTGTAGAATTCTCCTGTTCTCGCAGTCGCAGTCGCATTCGCGATGACAGTCGCAGTGGCAACGGCAGTCACAGTCACAGCCTCAGCCTCAGCCTGCCTCAGGATCAGCCTACCTCAGCCTCAGCCTCAGCCTGCCTCAGCCTCAGCCTCAGCCAGCTTCAGCCTCAGCCTCAGCCACAGCCTGCCTTCAGCCTCGGCCTCAGCCTCAGCCTGCCTCAGCCTCAGCCTGCATCAGCCTCAGCCTCAGCCTCAGCCTCAGCCTCAGCCTGCCTCCGCATCAGCCTGCCTCAGCCTCAGCCTCAGCCTGCCTCAGCCTCAGCCTCAGCCTGCCTCAGCCTCAGCCTCTGCCTCCTCAACCTTTTCCTCAGCATCAGCCTGCCTCAGCCTCAGCATCAGCCTGCCTCGGCCTCAGCCTCAGCCTGCTTCAGCCTCAGCCTCAGTCTGCCTTCAGCCTCGGCCTCAGCCTCAGCCTGCCTCAGCCTCAGCCTGTATCAGCCTCAGCCTCAGCCTCAGCCTGCCTCAGCATCAGCCTGCCTCAGCCTCAGCCTCAGCCTGACTCAGCCTCAGCCTCAGCCTCAGCCAAAGGCCACAGACCTCAGGCAGCCAGCCATCAGCCGTCAGCTGACATAAGCCATAGCTGCATCAGCTGCCACCTCACCTGTCCTCATCCTCAGCCTCAGCCACAGCCTGTCCTCAGCCATCAGCGCTCAGCTTCATCAGCGACTGCCTCAGCCTCAGCCTCAGCCTCAGCCTCAGCCTGCCTCAGCCTGCCTCAGCCTGCCTCAGCCTCAGCCTGCCTCAGCCTCAGCCTGCCTCAGCCTCAGCTTCAGTCTGCCTCAGTATCAGCTTGCCTAAGCCTCAGCCTCAGCCTGCCTCAGCCTCAGCCTCAGCCTGCTTCAGCTTCAGCCTCAACCTTAGCCTCAGCCTCAACCTTTTCCTCAGCCTCAGCCTCAGCCTGCATCAGCCCTCAACCTTAGCCTCAGCCTCAACCTTTTCCTCAGCCTCAGCCTCAGCCTGCATCAGCCTCAGCCTCAGCCTCAGCCTGCCTCAGCATCAGCCTGCCTCAGCGTCTGCCTCAGCCTGCCTCAGCCTCAGCCTCAGCATCAACCTCAGCCTCAGCCTCAGCCTGCCTCAGCCTCAGCCTGCCTCAGCCTCAGCCTCAGCCTGCCTCAGCAGCAGCCTGCCTCAGCCTCAGTTGGCTACGGGCATTCAAAATGTGGCCCGGGAATGGCGTTCTGGGAACTCGCAAGGACCACGAAGTGTACTACAGTTGGCCTCGGCATTCAAAATGTGGCCCAGGAATGGAGTTCTGGGAACTAGAAGAACACGAAGTGGCCTACAGTTGGCTCCGGGCATTCAAAATCATGCCCAGGAATGGAGTTCTGGGAACTTGAAGACCACGAAGTGGCCTAGAGTTGGCTCCGGGCATTCAAAATGTGGCCCGGGAATGGAGTTCTGGGAACTCGAAGAGCACGAAGTGGCCTACAGCTGGCTCCGGGCATTCAAAAATGTGGCCCGGGAATGGAGTTCTGGGAGTAAAGTCGAAGAGCAACGAAGTGTGTGACTGTTGGCTTAAAAACGAACTTCTGCGCACCCCAGTCCGCAACCTCCGCCCAGACCCCCCTGTGGAGTCATCATGATGCTCTCTTTTAAAGACCACTAGAAACCTATCCAGTCTTCCGCTGTTTAGGTCAAATACAGAGCACCTAAAAAATCCTAGACTTGGCGCGGGCGGCGGCTGCGCGGCGGCGGCTCGCGGCAGCGGCTAGCGGGCGGCGTGGCGGCGGCGGCGTGGCGGTGGCGCACGCGCGGCGCGGCAGCGGCTGCGGCGGCGGCGATTCGGCCAGCGGGGGCGCGGCGCGCGACGGCGGCGGGCGGCGCGGCGGCGGCGGCGGCGACGGCGGCGGCGTCGGCGGCGGCGCGGCGGCGGCGGCGGCGGGCAGAAGCGGCGGCGGCGGCTGCTGCGGCGGCGGCGGCGGCGGAGGCGGCGGCGGCGGATTGGCTCCCAGTAGCTGCCCATCCAAAGACGACTGCTGAATATGCTGAGGCTCGGGCCAGACTCGGGTGCTACGTATGTGTTGGGTGGGCGGGTCGGGGTGAGCGAGACGGCTTGCGGGCGGGGAGGGCGTCTTGACCCCTCTCTCCTTCTGCGACGCGTTGGAGCGTCCAAAACGGCCTCGGCGAGGAAGCCAAAATCATTGGTTTTACTATGGTTTTGGCCCCATTTTGGTCTCCTGAGGGGGGGACCGTAATTGGGGACCCCCCCCTCTTTGATCGATGTCCTCCAAGATGGCCCTAAGAGGCGCCCAGGAGGCCCCAAGATGGCCCCAAGATAGCCCCAATATGGCCCCAAGATGCCCCCAAGAGACCCCCAAGAGGACCCCAAGCTGCCCCAAGAGGCCTCCCCGAGGCACCCAAGACGCCCAAGAGTCCCGAAGGACCGCCAAGAGACTCCCAAGACGTCCCAAGAGGCCTCCAAAAACCGCCTATCAGGAGACCTCCAAGAGACCCCGAGGAGGCTTCAAGAGGATCCCCGAGGCCCGCAAGATCCCCCCCAGACGCTCCAAGAGGTTTCCAAAACAACTCCCAAGAGACATCCTAAGAAGATCTGATGTTCGTCATGTTTCCTCCTCCTTCTCCTTGTCCTTCTTCTTCTCCTCCTCCTCCTCCTCCTCCTTCTCATCCCCCTTATCCGCCAACTCATCATCCGAGAACCAGCACCATCAGCAGCAACAGCAGCAGCACTAGCAGCAGCAGTACCAGCAGGAGCAAGAGCACCAGCAATGACACTTGCAACCTTCGCCACAACATATCTCCCAATTCACCGTTGTTGCCCGCTCTGGTTCATTATGTGCGTCTCTTCTTCCCTTCTTCCGTCAGCTTTCCTGGGCATCGTTTCTGGATGGGCTGGTGGGGATACTTTTTTCTATCGCGGCCGCCTGCGAAAGCGCATGGGGCGTGAAAGGTCGAGCGGGCTACGCGCGAGCCTAACAACGCGAAGCGTCTAGAATTCACGTCTTCGCTTTTTGTTGCCTTCGGTCGAGTCCGAAGCTTCGGCGGGAGCGCGTGGAGGCTGTCCAGAACGTGTTCCAGTCGCAGTGCTTCATTCCCCTACTCCGACAGCTTCACCGACCCCGCCCGAATCGACCTTGACCTCTTCACGCTGGCAGGAGGCACAAATGCAAGAGTATTCCTGTACAGTTGTTGGTACCCTCGCTGGTGGAAAAGCGCTGCGAGCTGGCACCGTACATGGTGTCAGGTGTTGGCGACAGCAAAAAAAGAAGGCACTACGATGCAATAGAAAAAGAGAGAAAGAGAGAGGTAGACTTTGCCCTCTCCATCCGACGGGCGTCAGGCCACGAGGACGTCTGCCGGCGCGCTCGTGGCGATCCTGGAGTACGAGCCGCGAACATTGCGCAGGCCTCGCACCTGACAAGAATAGGAGGGCGCCAACTACACTTAGGTCGGGCACGTCCTCAAACAGGCGTGGTTTTTGAAGGCACATAAAACATAGGCAACACAGAATCAACACTTGTCAAGCGAGCACGGAGAATCGTCCACATCATACTTTTTTTCAAACGTCCCTGCATATGCCTCCTGTCTCGGCGGTGGACAAACCTCCCTTTAGTAAACCTCCCCTTAGTGAAAACGGCCTGGGACCGAAACCGACGGACCTGGACCCGCAAAAATGACGGCCGCGACGCCCTCTCGTGCACCGAGAACGGCCAATTCACTGATCGACGTGTCGAGGTAGGAGGTCTATCCACCCCCGACTGTAGAGGGACACGCCCGACCCAAGCAAGACCACACGCCGACACCGATCCTGGCCAGGCCCACCCCGGGCCCGGGGTCTCCGTGCGTGCAGGCCCTCCCGGCTCGGCAGGAGCGCGGCGTGGGCACTGCTCTCGGGCCCGAGGCCGAGGGTCGCAGGCCGAGGGCCGCGGGTCGAGGGCCACAGGTCGAGGGTCCAGGTCCAGGGCCGAGGGTGCAGGGTCGATGGTCGAGGGTCCAGGGCCGAGAGTGCAGGGCCGAGGGTCGAGGGTCGAGGGTCCAGGGCCGAGGGTCCAGGGCCGAGAGTGCAGGGTCGAGGGTCGAGGGTCGAGGGTCACGGGTGGAGGGTCCAGGGCCGAGAGTGCAGGGCCGAGGGTCGAGGGTCGAGGGTCACGGGTCGAGGGTCCAGGGCCGAGAGTGCAGGGCCGAGGGTCGAGCGGGTCCAGGGCCGGCGTGGGTGCCTCGCTGGTGCCCGCCGCAGGTCGTCGCCCGCTTCCCGTGTCCCACACCCGCGCCGAGTCCTCTGCCTCTCATGTCCTGTTGGCGCTCCTGCAGTGCTCCTGCTGCTGCCGCCACTGCCGCTCCTCCTCCTCCTCCTCCTCCTCCTCCTCCTCCTCCCTCCTCCCTCCTCCCTCCTCCCTCCTCCCTCCTCCCTCCTCCCTCCTCCCTCCTCCCTCCTCCCTCTCTCGAGCCTCCGAAGACCATTTGGGGCGGCCGCAGAGACTAGAAAATTGCTTAGACAGGCATCACGAATCAAACAAATCTTCAGACCGACCCCCGACCGAAAATGCCGCATCCGAACTCACCTCCGAACTACTTGTGACTCCTGGGCGTAACCGTCAACGAACCGATGCCAGCAGACGAAGCGACACCCTGCGAGGCCCCAGCACCGAGGAGGAAGAGGAGGCGTAGGAGTGTAACTATGAGGAGTGGAAAGGGGGTGAGGGGAGCGACGAGGAGGGCGAAGAGTGAGGAGAATGAGGACGACGCGAGAACAGAGGACCAGACGGCGGACGACACGACTGGCAGGGAGGGGGCGTAAACCACGGAAACAGAGACGAGCGCGTGCGGTTCGCTCGGCGCCATTGCGCTCCGTGCCCTGTCTCTCGGCGGTGCACACAGAGGGTGCCACGGCGGAGGGGGGCGGCCTTCCAGGAGTGCGCGGGGTCTCCGAGCAGGCATCGGCTGCGAAAGAGGCCGCCGCCCGCTCCGCGCCCCGACCCCGCCCTGCGCGCCGTCGGCCCGTGGCGCCCGTGGCGGCCGTGGCCCGCCGCCCCCCCATTCCCCGTGCTCCTCTGCCCGCCGCCCCCGCCTGCTCCCAAGCAGGGCGCGGGCCTGGCCGACCGCTTCCTTGGCGAGCCCCCTCCGCGACGACCTCCTCGCCCCCTCCGAGGCTGCCCTGCGGCCGCCCGCCCGCGGGGGGTGGCCGTCTCGGAAGGGGTCGGCCTGCGAGGGTGCTGCCCTGACTGAAGCAGGGCGTGGTATGCGGGAGGGGGGGGGGGCGTTCCTGCGGCTGCGCTCAGGCGATGGCCCCCGCGCGGACTGCCCCCTCCCCCCCCCACAAGACTGTATTCGGCGCTCTTCTCCCGCTGGAGCCCAAGTAAGACGAAGCCACGGCGAGGATTATTTTTTACCCCCCATGATGGGGGCGTTGCTGTCGATTGAAGTGGGGGGGGGGCCAAACCTGGCGCACTCAGATGCGAGCGCAATCACGCGATGTGGGTGCCGACGCGAGGTCAAGCTCGTCCCGAAAGCAAAATCACCCGACTCCTTTGTGACCAGCACCAATGTCACTCTGGCGAGATGTCACTCTTACGTGCAGTCGACCATCACGATTCTCCCCCGCGACCCAGCCCGGCGGCGCAACTACGACGGGGCCCCCCGACCGTCCGCCCGTCGGAGGGCGGTGTGCCACTCGTGGCCCCGGGCTCCCAACCTGGCCGCGCCGCCCACCGCCGCGGCGCCGAGGCTGGCCGAGCCAGCGCCTGCCACCAGGCCCGCGCCGCCCGTATTGCCTGTGCCGCCCGCGCCGGCCAGCGCCTCGAACGCGACCGCGACCTCGGCGCCGCCCGCGGCCGCGCCGGGTCTCCGGGCCAGCCGGCGCCACGTCGCCTCTGGCGCCGCTAGGGTCGGGCGCGCCAGCGAGCATCGCGGCGTCGATGGCAGACAGTGCCACGCCAGCACGGGCGGCCACGTCGGCCGGCGCGCCCTCGGCGCCGCCAGGGCCGACCTCGCCAGCCCCCTCGGCGGGGCGCCCGCGGGCCCGTCGGACCCCGCCGCCAGCGCCGCGGCAGCTGGGGCTGCGGCAGACCACGCCAACATCCAAGGCCGCGAGGCGGGCAGAAGCCGCCGAACGCAGAAGCCGCCCCTCCCCCGCGACTCCGAGGAACTCCCCGCGAGTCTCGGCGCAGCTCCAGGACCGTGGACTGTCGGGGACAAGGCAGGACAAGTGAAACCCTCGGCAACCCGGCAACCAGGGCACCGATCGCTGGGGCTGACGAGGATGGGAGGCCGAGCCAAAAAAACACCCCCCGGCATCCACAGCACAGCGCCCGGTGAGGGGGCAGTCGGGGGCAATGCCAGAAGCAAAGAAGCCATCGGCAACCAGGGGGGCAACACCAATGCCAGGGGGACAGGCGAGGGGCAAGGCCAGCCGAAGCAGGGAACTTCCCAGCAACGAGTGCACGGCAACAAGGCTGGAAGCAATCGGTGCCAGTGCAGAAACAAGGAAACCAGCGGCGGCAATCCAGGACCAAGACCAGTCGTAGACAAGTCCGAACCAAAGAAATCCTCGGCAGTTAGACCACGATGCCGAGGTGGGGGACAGTCGGGGACAGGGCGGAACGGATGAACTCGGTGACAACGCAGGGCAACACTGAAGAACACAAGTAAGAACCCGTTCAGTGCAAGCACTGATCGAGGGATTTTGTCCCTGAGTGATATCTTTGCGTCTCCTCCTCCTCCCCCTCCTCCTCCTCCTCCTCCTCCTCCTCTTTCCTTGCCTCCTCCTCCTCCTTCAAATGCCGTGGAATCTTGTCCATCTTCCTCCTGATCCTCCTAATTCCGTGGAATCTCGTCCCCCTTCGAAGATTCTGCCGCCCGCCTGATTCTGCACCATGAAGCCAATGCTGGCAACCATAACGCACAACAAGGTCGCCTGGGGCGGAGGGTGCCGTGGATCTATGTGGGGGAGGAGTCGAGGGGGCAGGAGTGAGGAGGTGAAGAAGCGACCCTGCCCTGCAGGGTAGGGGCGTCTTTTGCGCCCTCGAAGAAGGGAGGGGCTGGACATGCCCTCAGCGCCGAGGGCGACTGTCCTTTCCGACCCCCCTGTGTGTTGGGTTCTCGTCTTGCACAGAGCACTGTCGTCTCCGCCTCCCCTCTCTCCTCCCGCCTCCCTTCCCCTCCCTACTCCTGCCGTCTGCCTCCTCCTCCTGGGCTGCTCCCTGGGTGGCTGCGACCTGCGCAGCTGCCGCCACGATCGTGGGGCTCCCGGGAGGCCCAGCGGGGTCGGAGGGCCACGCGGACACCGCCGGGACCTCGCTACCCCCTGGGCGGCTGCGAACTGCGCAACTGCCACCACGATCGCGGGCTCATGGGAGGTCCAATAGGGGTCGGGGGCTACGCGGACCCAGACGGGACCTCGCTGCTCCCTGGGTGGCTGCGAACTGCGCGACCGTCACCACTTTCGCAGGCTCCTGGGGGGTCCAGCGACCTCGGGGGGCCACGCGGTCCCAGGACCTCGCTGCTCTCTGGGTGGCTGCGAACTGTGCAGCTGCTGTCAGCACTAATGCGGGCTCCTGGGAGGTCCAGCGGAGTCGGGGGCCACGCGGACCCAGACGGGACCTCGCTGCTCCCTGGGTGGCTGCGGACTGCGCAAGAGTCGCCGCTTTCGCGTGCGTCGGGGAAGAAAAAGCGAGGTCGGGGACAACGCCGATCCATTGTGCACCTCGCTGCTCCCTGGGTGGCTGCGAACTGCGCGACCGTCACCACTTTCGTGGGCTCCTGGGAGGTCCAGCGCAATCAGGGGCCACGTGGACCCAGGCGGGACCTCGCTGCTCCCTTGGCTGTGAATTGCGCAACTGGCGCCATGTTCGCGGGCTCCCGGGAGGTCCAGCGGGGTTGGCGGCCACGCGGATTCATGTGGGACCTCGCTGCTCCCTGGGTGGCTGCGAACTGCGCACCTGTCGCCACTTTCGTGCGCTCCTGGGAGGCACGGCGGAGGTGAGGGCAGCGCAGATCCATTTGAGCCCTCGCTGCTCCCTCGGGCGCTGCGAATTGCGCACCTGTCGCCACTTCCGTGGGCTCCTGAGGGACACGGCGGAGAGACACGGCAGAGATGAGGGGATCGCAGATTGTACATATCTGGCGATGTGTTCTTTGGTATGGGGAGCTCTACACGTATTCGCCTCGCGTGGAGAGGGGGTTGGGTACGTCTCGGGTGATTCTTACTATTGTCCTCCTTCGGCGGCGGTCTTCAAACGGTTTTCTTCCCAACCATCCTGTGGTGTTGGGTCCTGGTTTTGAAGAGACAGCGTCCCGCGCCTCCTTCCTTCTGTCCTTCCTTCTTTCCCTCCCGACGCCCTCCCTCCCTCCTCCCATCCCTATAACCCCCGCCTTTGCCCTCTGCATGTCCCTGTTTAGGCACACCTCTCACGCGTATGGTGGCCCCTATCAGGGGGCTACACCTAATGCCACCATGGCGACGTTCGCATATTCGGGGATCTTCTGACCCAGCTCATTTTAGACCCGGGTCAATCAGGCCCTGCAGAATCCTGCAAGATCCTGCACCCAAACCCGGGTCATTGCGAAGGATCTAGCAACATCCCACAGGATCCTCCGCCCAAACCCGGGTCAATGCCACCCTGGCCCTGCAGGATCCTGCAAAATCGGGCGCTCTGGCTGACCCCCGTTTCTATTGACCTCCGTCTCTTGAACCCCGACATGTGGGCGTCACGCCCGTTCCGGCCCCCTCCCCGGCGTTTCGTGGCCCCAGAGGGAGCTCCACCTGATGCCCCAGTGTCGACGTTCGCATGTGGGCGTCACGCCCCTTCTGGCACACTCCTCACACGCTTCGTGGCCCCGTAGGGAGCACCACCTGAGGCCCCAATGGCGACGTTCGCATGTGGGCGTCACGCCCGTTTCGGCACACCCTCGCGCGTCTCGTGGCCCCAGAGGGAGCTCCACTTATTGTGCCACTGGCGACGTTCGCATGTAGGCGTTACGCCCGTGCCGGCCAACCCCTCACACGTTTCTCTTGCCCATCTAGAGCTCCACCTAAGGCCTCAATGGCAACGTTCGCATGTGGGCGTCAGGCACGTTTCGGCACACCCCTCACACGCTTCGTGGACCCATACGGCGCTCCACCTGAGGGCCCAATGGCGACGTTCGCATGTGGGCGTCAGGCCCGTTTCGGTGCACCCCTTGCGCGCTTCGTGGTCCCACAGGGAGCCCCCACTGGCATAGTTCGCATGCGGCTCCCCCCATTTTGGCAACGCGTGTTTCGCGGCTCCCACAGGGAACTCCGCCGAAGGCTCCAACGGCACGATCCGCATGCGCCCCCCCCCTCCCCCCATTTCGGCATGCCCCTCGCGCGTTTCGTGGCCTATGGGGAAATCGACTCACAGCTGCGGTACTCACAACTCCATATGGTTGAGTCCGTCGCTAGGATAACCCCACCAGCCCTTTGGGCTAAGGTGGCCTAGCGAGTTTTTTGTTCCTACTTCAAGAAACCCTTGTCCCTTCGGGGAGGGGTACCCTCCCCCTCCCATTCCTGATGTTTTTCGCGGCGGGCCGCGATCGGTTGGAGTGTCCAAGATGGCCCAGGATGGCTCCAAGAGGGCCTCCTATGCTCCACGATGGCCTCCAAGGCGGCTCAAGATAGCCGAAGATCGTTCCAAACAACTTCCGACATGCCTCCAAGAGGCCCGTCGAAGGCCGCAAGACTGTTCCAAATGCTCTCGGAGCCCCCGCGGGAACCCCCCAAGAGGCAATATTTCTTCAAACACCTGCGGGAAATCAATGACTTGTGCCTTCTCGCCTTTTCGGTTCCGACGGGCTTCTGAGGCCTCACGATGGCGCCAAGATGGCCCAAGAGAGCGCCAAGAGGGGCCAATAGGCCCCACACCGGCCCCAAGAGCGCCCAAGATCGCCCCAAGAGCGCCCCAAGATGTGATGTTTAGATGAGATCTACCCCTACGTGGTCCCACGAGGAACGCGGTCAGCACGTATTGCAGGAACAAGTACGACTGACAGCGGCTAAACGATCTCACAGGTCAGTGGGGTTCTCCATTGACCACCTGGGCGCGGGGGGCTCGCGGTACAGGGGGCCCCTCGTGCCTTGGCATTTTGCCTAAACAATCTCACCTGTCCACCGTGCCCACCTGGCTCTCTGTGTGTGTTGCGTATGTTCACATTCATCTGAGACCATCTTCCGGCATGTCTGGCCAGCAGTACGTTGACACAAGCTCGTCGTCTTTTTTTCTAGCTGGCTGGAGGGGCTCCTCAGGCCGTGCAGTTTGGCTCTCACCTATATCATAGCTTTGTCATGTAATTCCCTTGCGTTGCACTTTTAGCCACTTGGTTTACTTTACGAGCATCGTTGAGGCTTGACCCCCCACCTCCGTCTTTAAACGGGGTCAAGCCCTGCTGTCTTCATAGTGTCGACTTCGTCCGCTGTGGAGCTTGACTTTTGTCCATTATTACTCTGCACGCTGTGCTGTCCCGAGACTTTGCAAAGGTGGTACGTGGATCGCCAACGGCTGTATCCCTCATTACGCGCCCTCGGTGTTAGTGTGATTTGTCGTGCCGGCGCCGCTCGCCTTGGAGGTGGGGCTTGGAATGCCGGGCAGGTTGTGAGCAAAGCTTTTCTGAGTTGCTCTGTGTGCACGTCCCTGTCGCTTCTCTCCTCCTTGTCTTCTTCTCTGCAGTTGAATGGCACGGCTCTCTGGAATCCTAATTTTTATCGTGGCCCCGGCCCTCCCTGCCCCCACCTGCGGGGCAGGGACACGATGGGGGCGGCGTGGCACGGGAGCCCGGGCGGGCTCCGCACTCTGTGTTGAGTTTGTTCCATTTTTGTCCCTACCACGCGCGCCCCCGGCCCATGCCGGAGAAGGCGGCACGGGAGGTTGCCCACAGCCTGCAGCTGGCACTGGGCTCGACCACAACCTCACGCTGATGTTTATGGCCCAGGAGGGGGGAGGCAAACCGAGGACCCCCCCATTTTGATCGATGGCCTCCAAGATGGCCACAGAAGGTCCTGCAGGGCTCCCAACAGGGCCGCAAGAGCCCCCAAAGGGCCCCAAGACACCCCAAAAGAGCCCAAAGAGGATCTCAAGATCCCCCAAAAGATCCCCAAGAAGGCTCCAAGAG